GGGGGGATTGGCTGTGACCAGTGCTGCCGGGGGCTGAAGAAGGTGAGGATGGACCATGGGGTTTGGGAGCATGAAGGGTAATGGTGACAAGAGTCATCTTGGTGAACTTGGGGAAAGAGAGAAAGTGGTAGGCAGTGTAGATAGACAATGTGTTTGAGATCTTCCATTGTTAGAGCGAGCAGAGAAAGGAGGCACTATCTGGAAGGTGGTGTGGGACCAAGGGAGGTTTTTCTGTTTTGTTTTGTTTTTTTAAGATAGGAGATATCACAGCATTATCTGTGTGCTGATGGGAGATACCAGGCAGAGAGGGGAAATGATGCAGGAGAGGGAGGGTAATTATAGGAGCAAAGTCCTTGAGAGGGGCTGGTAGCCAGGGCTCCAGTGAGGGGTTGGCCTCCCGGAGATAGGACCAAGGACAGTTCTTAAGTCAGGACAGGGGAGCAGCTTCTGTGGCCCGAGGCAGGCAGCAGGGCCAGAGGCCTGGCTTCTCATACTGATTCACCTCAGCTTTTCCTGTGTGCGCTTGGGCATGCTATTGAATCTTTCTGGGCTGTTCTTTCCGGAAGGGTAATTACACACAGCTGCTGTTGGCTTCCCTCCCGGGGTAAACACACTCTCATCAGCCTGTCTGAAAACTCATGGGATGGATCCCCAGCAGAGGGAAGCCCTTGGCTTTGGCCTGAGATGAGGGTCATCGAGGTGCCAGCCAGGCCTTGTCACTCATCAGGTGTCAGGGGCCAAGGGGCTGTGCCATCACCAATCAAGTCCTCACTCCTTTGGTTGAGCAAAAAAGCCTTTCCCGTCTGTGACAAAAGAAAATGGCTCCATGGGCTGTTCTGGGGGTGTGGGTGGTGTCAGGGCCATGACTGTTTCAGCCTTCAGGAGGCAGCTGGGTGGAGAGAGGACAGCACAGGCTTTGGAGCCAGACCACATCCCCAGCTCTGCCACGTCCCAGCTGGGTGACTTGCCAGAGGCACATTTACTGTGAAGCTTGAGCTTCAAGCCTCTTCACCTGGTTGGACCCTTCCCAAAGCCCAGTGTAAATCTTAGATTCATAGTTTTGTGTTCTTTTTCTTACAGAGGGAGTCCCTACATTGTATCATATTCTTGCTCCACAAAACCAGGATCTGCCCCCATGTACCTTGGGTAAATGGCTTGACCTCACTTTCCCCATCTGTAAAATGGGATAGTCAGAACCTGCCTCCCAAGGTGGGGAAAGGGTTACTGGGTACTCATAGCAGGGCATGCGGGGGCGGCTCAAATTAATGGGAGCCGTAGTTATGACTCCTGAGGCTGGGGGGTGGGAGGCAGTGATGCTTGGCTGTGCTCAGCTCCCCCGCATCCAGGGGACAGTCTCTTCCAGTTCCCGTTCCTCCTCCTCAGCTGACTTAGCCCTTAGGATCAGAGGTGAGCACCTTCCTTTTCTATTTACACTCTTAAAGACACAAACTGTCTGAGGTCAGTTTCCTTTTACTACCCTTCCTCCCTCTCCAAACTGTCTCTCCTCCAGACCCACAGCCAGCCCCTCCCATCCCCCACTAAGCTCAGCCTAGTTCTGGGCACATAGTAGGCAGTTCAACCCTCATGTGCCCCCTCCTGCATCTCCTTGGCACCCCTGGCTTCCTGCTTCCCAAGATAGTAGATTTCAAGTGCACCTGTGCAACTCATAGTGGCACCTACTGGGTGTCAAGCAAAAGTCCCCTTTGACCTCTTTCTTAACCCTTAGCCTTCAGAAGGACAGGTGGGTGTAGCTTCACTTCCAGGGTAGGGGAGACGAGGAGGTATTGCTGGGTCCTAAGGATGCCAACCTGGCCCAGATGGTCCCCCACCCCGCCCCCCTGAGCTTATTTGTGCCAGAACTCCAAGTCCTTACCTTGGTGGGGACGAGGATGGGCAGAGGCAGCAGGAAAATGGGCAGGAAGAGCACAAGCAGGTAGGAGCGATAGGCCCACAAGCCCTGCCAGCAGGTGGCCATGGTGCGGACCAGCTAGGGCTGATGGCAGCGCCTCTGGGAGCTGGGAAGGAGCCAGGGAGGGGATGCAGCCTGTAGGTGCCTGGGGCAGGCGAGAGGCTTATATAGAGCCACCTGAGTGTTAACCATTGACCCACCCTGGCAATCAGAGTGTTTTTGGAGCCCGGGAGGTGAGAGTAAAGAGGAGGGACCTCCAGGAGGTGTAAAGATCAGGAAGGCTTTGCAAAGAAAGGGGAGGGAAAAAGAACAAGGAACAAAAGCTTCAGGTACTTTCAAGAAGTTAAGCCCAGAGTTAACTCCTTCTGTTCCTGGAGGCTGCTAGTGGCTGGAGGAGCTGGAGAAGAAAGGGCACCCGGGAAGCCCCACAGCCAGCCTCCACAGGCAAGACCCCAAGCCCCTCTCCCCAGACCAGCCTCTCCTCTCTCCTTTTGTTTCCCAGAGCCAGGTTCTGAGCTGAGCAGTTTATACAGGGCCCTGGGTCGGGTGGCCCCTCCTACAGAGAGGCCCTCCCTGCCTTCTAGGAGTTTCCAGTCTAAGATTGAGTGCAAACTACGCCTGGAGCAAGCCCTTCCCCCTCCTCCCAGTGTCAAGGAAGCTGTCAAAATCACTAGTCCTGACTGTCTCTCACTCACTGTGTGAAACTGTGTCTGTGATTAACATCTCAGAATAGCCGCTTCCTTGTTTTGTGCTAATACCTTCCTATTGCAAGCAGGGGAGGATTATCCAATAGGCAAAGTAAGCAGGGGCTTACTTGTGCTTACTTACAAATCCGTAGTGAACAATTTCACATGTTTTTCACCACAGGGCTTACCTTGCTTACTGGGTCATCCGTCCCTGTCATGGATTGTGAATTTGAAAAGCAGCTTTGATCCTGTAGAAAGGTGCTGTGGGGTTGGGAGACAGAAAGATGCCAGCCATACCTAGAAGCAGAATCTTTGATGTGAAAAAATGTGAAATTGTTCACTACAGACAATCTGATAAACCAGGTAAGCACCATGCTTACCCCGCCTACTGGATAATCCACCCCTGATGGTGAGGCTTAAATTACACAACTGACGGTATTTAACAACAAATTAAACAACTGAGCACTGATGTGTGGTAGGTGTACAATACAGGTTTGTTTCTTTCAGGCTCTTCCTGCCTTCCCACCCCCACCCCTGCCCCAAACTGCCATGGAAGACCAGCAAAGATTGTCTCATATTTTGGAAAAACAATCAGTCTCACCATTTTCCATCTATCTATCTGTCTATCCATCTGTCTGTCTGTCTATTTACCTGTCTTAGTTATCTAGTGCTGCTATAACAGAAATACCACAAGTGGATGGCTTTAACAAAGACAAATTTATTCTCTCACAGTCTAGGTGGCTAGCAGTCCAAATTCAGGGTGCCATCTCCAGGGGAAGGCTTTTTCTCTCTGTCAGCTCTGAGGGAAGGTCCTTGTCATCAATCTTCACCAGGACTAGGAGCTTCTCCATGCAGGAATCCTGGGTTCAAATGAAGTGCTCTACTTCCAACACTGCTTTCTTGGTAGTATGAGGTCCCCTGCATCTCTCTGCTTGAATCTCTCTTTTATGTTACAAAAGAGATTGATTTAAGACACAATAGAATCTTGTAGCTTGAGCCCTGCATCATTGACATAACTGCCGCTAATCCTGCCTCATTAACATCATAGAGGTAGGATTTACAACACATGGGAATATCACATCAGATGACAAAATGGTGGACAATCACACAATACAGGGAATCATGGCCTAGCCAAGTTGACATACATTTTTTGGGGTCACAATTCAGTCCATAACAAGTTGCAAGCAGAGAGAAGAGTGAACTAAAGCCTGGAGGGTGGTGTGTCGGGTGGGGTGGGGTGGGGCGGTGGGAGGCATGGCAGGGAGTTAGAAGGGATTGCCAGTTGTCTGTCTGGTCAGAACTTCTGTATCTTGGTACCCTCACCCCTCCTCACCCTACACTGCGCACAGTAGGTGCACAATCCACAGTTCTGATGCTTGTCAGAGTGTGAGATCTGTGTGCCAGGATTAGAAGACAGGATGTCAGGGAGAATGTTCCTGGCAGTGAACCTGCCTGGACAAAGCTGCAGAAGTGTGGTGGAGTTTAGAGAACAGAGGGTTCTGTGCAGTTAGAATGTGGGTTTGTGGCAAGGTAGGATTGAGAGCTGATAAGCACATTTCTAGGGTGAACAATAGCATGGCCTGGACTGTTATGCCAGGGTGACACCCCTGAAGCCAGTGGGGTCTGTGTGTGAGAGACACCCAATGCCCTCTGCAGGAGTGGGCTAGAGATATGATGGATCCAGGTCTCAGAGCTCTGGGCCAGGCCAGGCTGGGTGGGAAGATACAGTAAGACAGGACAGACTGGCTACCCCCTCCCCCATTCAGGCCCTGGCGCTCCATTCCCACATAGTCAATCTGCCACCTGCTCAGGGCCAGGTGGGGAAGAGTCTGTAAGCACAGGGATAGACAAAAGATTTCAGATGTCCAGTACAATACCCCAAACCTGTCTCACCGTGAAGACCTCTCCTGTATCCTGAGGCTCTGGGGGAGCCTCAAGGGGAGGAGGGCTGCGTCTCATCCCATAGGGACAATATCCATCATGTGTAATCTGGACACCAGTTCCCCTATTTCTCCCTACCAACCCTGGGATGTAGGCTCAGAACAGTGAAATTACTTGCCAGGGCCACATAGCGTGTGAGTACCTGAGAGAGGACCCAGATTCAGAGCAGAAATAAATGGAAAAGAGAATATAAAAACAATAGAAAGAATCAACAAAACCAAAAGTTGGTTCTTTGAAAGGATCAAGAAAATCGACACGCCATTGGCCAAACTGGCAAAAGAAAAACAGGAGAGGATGCAAATAACCCAAATAATCAATGAAATGGGGGACATTACAACAGACCCAACTGAAATAAAAAGGATCATAACAGAGTACTATGAAAAACTGAACTCCAACAAATTAGAAAACCTAGAGGAAATGGAAAAATTTCTAGAAACACACTACCTACCTAAACTAACGTAAACTGAAGTTGAAAATCTGAACAGACCCATAACAAGAGAAGAGATTGAAAAGATATAAGCTCCCGACAAAAGAAAGTCCTGGCCCAGACGTCTTCAATGGAGAATTCTACCAAACATTCAGAAAAAAGCATGCACCAGTACTACTCAAACTATTTCAGAACATAGAAAAGGAAGGCATACGTCCGAATTCATTCTATGAAGCCAGCATTACCCCGATACAAAAAACCATGCAAAGACGTCATGAAAAAAGAAAATTACAGACCAATATGTCTCATGAATATAGATGCAAAAAATCTCAACAAAATTCTAGCCAATAGAATTCAGCATCGTATCAAAAAAATAATACACCATGACCAAGTGGGATTCATACAAGGTATACAAGGATGGTTCAACATTAGAAAATCAATCAGTGTAATCCACCACATAAATAAAGCAAAAGAAAAGAATCACATGATCATCTTAATCAATGCAGAAAAGGCATTTGACAAAGTCCAATGCCCAATCCTGATAAAAACTCTGAATAAAATGGGTATATAAGGGAAATTCTTCAACATAATAAAGGGCATCTATACCAAGCCAACAACCAACATCATTCTCAATGGAAAGAGGCTGAAAACATTCTCCCTGAGAACAAGAACAAGACAAGGATGCCCTTTGTCACCATTCCTATTTAACATTGAGCTGAAGTCCTAGCTAGAGCAACAAGGTAAGAAAAATAAAGGGCATCCAAACTGGTAAGGAAGAAGTAAAACTGTCCCTATTTGTGGATGATATGATACTAGACACAGAGAGTCCAAAAGACTCAACAAGAAAACTACTGGAACTAATAGAAAGATTCAGCAGAGTAGCAGGATATAAGATAAACATAAAAAATCATTTGGATTCCTATATAGCAATAAAGAGAAGTATGAAAAGGAAATCAGGAAAGCAATACCATTTATAATAGGCCCTAAAAAGATAAAATATTTAGGAATAAATCTATCCAGGGACGTAAAAGACCTATTCAAAGAAAACTACAAAACATTACTGCAAGAAACCAAAGAGACCTACATAAATGGAAAAATATACCATGACTCAACATTGTGAAAATGTCAATTCTACCCAAAGCAATCTACAAATACAATGCAATCCCCATCCAAATCCAACAGCATTCTTTAAGGAGATGGAAAAACTAATCATTAACTTTATATGGAAAGGGAAGAGGCCCTGGATAAGTAAAACGCTATTGAAGAAAAAGAAGAAAGTAGGAGGACTTGCACTACCTGACCTCAGAACCTACTATACAACTATGGTAGTCAGAACAGCCTGGTACTGGTGCAATGGCAGACACACTGAAAATGAAACAGAATTGAGAACTCACATGTAAATCCATCCACCTACGGTCACCGGATGTTCGACAAAGGCCCATAGTCCATTAAATGGGGAAAAGACAGTCTTTTTAACAAATAGTGCTAGCAAAACTGGATGTCCATCTGCAAAACAATAAAACAGGAACCGTACCTCACACTATACACAAAAACTCATTCAAAATTGATGAAAGACCTAAATATAAAACCAAAAGCTATAACGATCATAGAAGAAAAAATAGGGTCAATGCTAGAGGCCCTAATACATGGCATTAACAGTTTACAAACTATAACGAATAATACACAAACACCAGAAGATAAGCTAGATAACTGGGATCTTCTAAAAATTAACACTAATGCTCATCAAAAGACTTCGCCAAAGAGTAAAAAGAGAACCTACAGACTGGGAAAAAAATTTTGGCAATGACAAATTCAACAAAGGTCTAATCTCTAAAATCTACAGGAAAATCTAACACGTCTACAACAAAAAGACAAATAATCCTATTAAAAAATGGGCAAAGGATATGAACAGACACTTCACCAAAGAAGACATTCAAGTGGCTAAAAGATACATGAGGAAATGCTCAGGATCACTAGACATTAGAGAAATACAAATCAAAACTACAATGAGATACCATCTCACCCCGACATTACTGGCGCGAATCAAAATAACAAAA